CTCCACTGTCCACAGGGAACCAGGACCTCCTTACATTGTCCACCCAGACCCAGGACCGCCCTCCACTGTTCATGTGGAGCTCCTGATTACAGCTCGGCTTCCAACTCTACTCATTCAATGCTGATACTACAGTAGGTCAGTCGTCCTTGTCCAGCATGAAGTTCTCGTTGGCCTTGGGTGGATCACCTCAGTGCCCAGTCTGAGCTGGATGGTGCTGAGAGAAACACACCTCTGAATTCTTCCTGTGTCGTCTGGGTCCCAGTGCCTCCCACATCTGGCGCCAGGTTTCCTTCCTAGTGTATCCTCTTGCAGCAGGACACTCTGCAGGGCCTGCGAGGGCAGAAGCCTCGTCAGGCAGGGTCTAGTGAAGGTCCACCCCGGAAGGCTGGCTTGGGACACCTTGGGATCTTGCTGGAACTAGCCACAGGTGCTGTCTGCCTGCCAGCTGGCTGCAACCTCAAATGCCCAGACTCGCATATGCAGTCCAGGGCTGCTCGGCAGGCCCAGGGCCACGCTCACGGCCCTGCTTGTGGGCAAGCATGGAGAATGTGCCCACAGCAGAAGTCCCAGACACTGGCCCTCATCTCCCTGGAGCTGGCCCCACCCAGAGAAGCATCCGCCTACAAGGGCAGCCTCCTGCGCCAGGCTCGCTTCTCTAGATGGTCCACTCCCGACTGCATGCGTGACAAGAGAGGGAGGCTTAGAGAAAGATCAGGTTGGAAATACTGAAAGAAAGTGGCAGGGGTGTCCCCAGTGTTAGGGGATTGCCTGGCCTGCCTGAGGTGCCATTCCAGCATGGAGAAAGAAGGAGGACAGACACCATGTCCCCTGAGCTGACCCCCTCTGTTAAAGCAGGGCAGGTGGCATGCAGCCCTTCTCTGAAGGATTGACAGGATCCAGGCTTCAGGCCAAGATTTCATAGACCAGGCTGTTTCCTGGAATTTTCCTCCCCTCAGGCAGAGCACTTCCCAGCCAGTGTCTCCGATTTCACTCTGCACCATTACCACAGTCAGCACAGTGGACTGCAGGCACAGCTCCCTCCACCTGTTGGGACAGGCTAAGTCGGTGGGATGTGGCTGATCCCACAGGTTTCGGGTCGGTGGCCTCGATGACAGCTGCCTCCTCATCAGGGAGGGCTCTGGGCACACCATCTGCCCATGTCCCCCACTCCCACCAGCCAAGGGGAGCCATGCAGACACTCCTGCTACAATCTGGTAGATGCTCAGGGGCTAATCCCCAATTTATCTACATGGGATCACCGCCTCATTGTACACCTGCCCTGCCGCTTCCAACGCCACGCGCCTAGGTGGTTTCCATGATCGAAGGTCTGCGGGTGGCTTTTCTGTTTGGAAGGATAACATCAGAGGCATGAAGACCCCCTTGCTGCACATCCAGGACACAGTTCCATCCTCCCACATGCGGGGCCAACTCTGTAGGCGCCAGGCCCTGACCTGTCCTTTCAAAGGCTTGAATGCAGTTCCCTGGGACCCCGCCACCAGGAGCAGCTTCTCAGGCGGCAGTGGTGATCCTGGACTGCCCTGGGCTTGGATGTGCTCACAGCCAAACACCAACCAGACTTGACCCAGGCAGAGCCAGGACCTGGGGGACACACCAGCCCTCAGAACAGCCACCAGGACCAGTCCATTCGCTCCTGCTCCAGCTGGAACCACTTCTGCAGACCAATCCTGGGGCAAGCACTTCTACAAGCTGGGTCACAGGCAGGTGGACAGAGGCTGTGCAGGAGGTGGGGCAGAGCTGGTTCCCCTCCTCCAGGTGCAGGACACTGTGGAGTTCCTGGGGGAGGTGAAGGGATGGGGAGTGGAGGAGGGCACTCACAAGAGAGGAAAGGCCCCCAGGGAGTGCGGGAGCTCCCAGTTCCCAATGAAGCAGCCCCTCTACCTATTCCCACCTCTCATGAATCCTCGGGCATCAGGCCAGAAGGGGCCTTAGAGTTAGTCTCCTGGACCATCCCTGAGCTTTGCAGATGGGAAGCTGACCTCAGAGTGATGCAAGGTGGCCCCCAGGTACAGCTGAGCAGTCAGGATCCAGCACCGTGACAGCAGAAATAGTGGACACCCTGGCCCCTTGCCAGCCGTAGTCTCTTCACCCAGAAGATGGAGGTCCCCCGGGGACATATTCCCCACCTAGACAGACAGAGGGCCAGAGCAGGGTCTTGTTCCTGTAGTCTGCTGACCACCAGAAGGACCAGGAGGAGGGGCAGCAGGGCACCTGAGGCTCCTCCACAAGCCCCTTACTGCCACCAGGGAGGCAGCACCAGCCCTGTGCCCTCTGGCCAGCTCCCTCTGCAGGGCTTGGAAGCTGGAGCCTCAGTGGGCAGGCAGGTCGCACTGGGTCTGGTGCCCACGTACAGCGGCAGCCCCCGAGGCCAACGTGGGCAGAGACGTCTGGAGCAGATTGGGCGCAGGCTTCTCGGGGCAGGCACGGCCTCCGGCCATCCTGAGGAGCAGCGCTGCGGGCCTCAGCTGCAGCCTGTCTGAGGCTGTGGACTCCCATCCCAGTCCACTACCTGGCCAGGAGCCTCTCCCCACCCTGGGCTGGGTGAGTCCTCCTGGCAGGAGAGGAGTACATCTGGGTTGGACAGTGTGGTCAGCAGGCGGCAGGGGCCTGGGAGGAGACTCCACAGCACAGGAAGCAGCCAAGCTCTGGGTCTGCCTCGGCCAGACCCTGAACTTTCCTGTCAAGGGTCAGCTGTCCTCCCCCTGGACGCCCACGTCCCCTGGAGCTCACTGGGAACCCAGGAAGCACAGCTGCGGTCCTTGCAGAGGTACCGAGGCTGGCAGCTGCCCCCAGGGAGACTCGCTGAAGGTGCCGAGAGGACTGTAATCAGGAGCCATTGAAGAAAATTAAGTACAAACAACAGGTCCCTAGAGCCAGGCCAGACAGTGTCGGGGCTGCTCAAGGGCCCTGTCTACAGCGGAGGTCCACACCAGACACACAGCGCTGACTCAGCAGGACCAGGCAGCCATTACCGGCCACTAGCCCTGTCCTGCCCCATGGCCATCTGCACCCTGGGCCCCTGATCAGAAGCAGTTTCCAAGGTGCTCAGGAGTCTTCCTGCCCAGCCGCCAGGTCATTGCCAGACTTGGGCAGCCCGTGCAGCCCCAGATCCCTTCCTGCCTCCCAGAGACTCTCCCCAGGAAGAGCCAGCGCCCAGCCACCCCTGCCCCACCCTCCCACTGTCCTCCAAGGGCCCAGGAGCTCTAGGATCTGCTCTTCCTTAGATCCCCCAAGTGTTATGTGCCTATGGGGACCTCTTCGTGATGGTCACCTGGTGGAGACTGACCACAGTGCTGTAGGGGCTTGGCTTCTGGTCTGCGCCAGCAGAGAGGTGCCCCAGGGCATCATGGCTGTGGCCACTAGGGACATGAGCTCCCACGAGGGCTGGCCTGAACCCGCCCCCCGCCCGCTGACAAAGGCCTCGGCCCCAGGATGTCGTCTCTGGTCAGCAATGGTCACTGCTCTCCGACCTGCCCCTCTGCTCACTTTCTGGTCCCCACACAGGAGGGCAGTGGGTCCTATGTATCTACAGACAAAGCTGTGTGTGACCCGAGGGAGGCAGGCAACCACAAGCAGGCCAAGGTGAATCCCAGGAAGTGTCGGGGCGTCCCGGGCCAAGTGCCCTGACCTCCACAGGAGCTTTCAGGGGGTTTTCTGGTCTCACCACCTGCAGGAACGAGGCCGAAGTCCCTTCCTGCTAGGCCCCACACTCCTGGGCCTGGCTGTGTCTCACACAGTGGCCACCATACCCCACGGGGGCTCGCATCACAGAGCCACGTCCTAGGTCAGGCCGCACCCTGCTTATGTCCCTCTCGCCAGAGTGTTAGCTGGCAACCAGCGTGCTGCTTCCTGCAGCGTGCAAGCAAGAATGTGTGAGTGTAAGTGCACGAGTATATGTGTGTTCAGATTGTGGGTGACGTGTGAGTACATTATGTGTGTAAGAGTACAGTGTGTGTGCATGTAAGAGTGTGTGCAAGTGTGTGCCTGTGTGTGGCGTGTGTGCAAGTATATGTGAGTACTATGAGTGCACACAAGTCTACATGTGGTACTGTGAACATCTGTGTGAATGGAAGTGTGTGAGCATGCATTGTATACTGTGTGTGCATGATTGTGTGTGATATGTGCACATGTATGTGTATACAAGGGGAAGGACAGTGTGCACAGTGGTGTGTGTAAGTGCAAATGTGTGCATGTGTGAGCAAAAGTGTATGTGAGTGTGTTAATGTGCATGTAGATGTTTGCAAGTGTGCATTTGCATACCATGTGTCCATGTAGGTGTGTGTGTAAGTGTGCATTTGTGTACTGTACAAGTGCTTATGCACATATGTGGGTAGAAGTGTGAGCAAGTGCATGTACATGCTGTGTGTGATGTGAGTGCACATGGTGTGTGAGCATAAGTGTGCACACTGCAGGTCAAAGAGTGGCACTGAGTGGAGGCAGGCACAGTGCTGCAGGGTACCAGGATCCCTGCTCCTGGAGGGGAGCCTATGGGTATGGAGCCTGTCCCCAGCCTGTGGACAGCTGGGCAGGAAGGTGCTGAGTGAGGGCCACCCAGGCATCTCCTCAGCCACCCGTGCAAACCGTGGGCTTGTGTGTGAACGCAGAAGCCATGTCGTGGCAGTGCTCTGGGTCTGAGCCCTTTCCACAGTTACTCTGTCCCGGGAGAATTTTTCCCATCAAGACCACCGGTTCCAATTAGCAGAGGTGAACGTGTGAGGCATGGTCATGGACCCCAAGGAGGAGGTAGACAAGGGACTCAGAGAACGGTGAGGTGAGCTGCCGAGGCCCGGCTGGGCTGGGTTAGAGCAGAAGCTGCTTCTCTGGGGACCCATGCCTGTCACCCGCACTACTGATATCCTGTTGGCAGCAGCAAGAAAGGTGATGGCCAGATGGGAGGCACTTGTAGTGGCCTCCAGCACCCTCTGCTGAGCCTGGCCCTGCCTCCAGGAGGGCACCTGCAGAGGAGTCCTGTCTACGGGTCTGATGGCTGCAGATGGAGCTGCGCAGGGGCGAGTGGCCTCTCTGGCCACAGCTGTGGATGGCATCTCCCCACTGAGCAGATGCAGGGTAGGGTTCCCCACCTGTGCCTGCCAGGCCCAAGGCTCCCCAAGATGGCTACGGGGAAGGACAGCGTGCACAGTGCTGAGTGGCCAGGTGGGCCCCATGCAGGGTGTCTAGGACCAGCTGTCCTCCAAGTGAATATGGACATCCTCCCTCCAGCCTGGAACCTCAGGGACTGGCATCCTGTGGGCTCTCAGGACCCAGGGTACGAGGGATTGCAGGTCTGCCCTCTTGAACAGCCAGCCCTGAGCCTTTCTGCACCGTGGTCAGAACTTTAGAGGGTGGAGGGATGATATGGGGTGTGTGGCCCTCTGCAGGTCAGAGCAGAGTCCTGGGGTTCCCATGAGTGGCAGCAGCAGAACCCCAACCATGGGAGCTGGGCAGAGGCCCCACACGTGAAGTCGGGTCAGCGGTATGTGGATGGCAGAGCTCAGGCCAGCAGCTAGAAGAGGCTCTGCACAGGACTGTGTTGGCAGACAGAGCTCAGCTGTCCCAGAATCACCCCACGGTCATCATGGAGAGTCGGTGCTCTCTGGCCATCTTGTCCTGCTGGCCTGCTGGCAGGTGCTGCTGGAGACTCCTACACACTGCATGGGGATCCCACCCGGCTGGGTCACCCCTGCTTTCCACCCAGAGAGCAGTCTGAAAGCCTCTGTGCTTCATCCTGTGCTCTCAGCAGGAACACAGCCCCGTGCGGGCCCTGGAACTGCCCCTCCTGGCTGGGTGGCCAGGCACATTCTGTGGCAGCATTGTACAGATCGGGCTGTCTCGTGGCAACTCCTCTTCCCTCCTGCTCACTCTGGCTGGCTGTGGATGTGTGCTCATACGTGACACAGAGAAAGCCCTGGAGACTCCTGGCCACACAGCATCCCTGCGATGAGTCCAGGGCTTCCCCTCACACCGGATTTCACCAGGAAACCGTGAAGACCCCAGCACAGGTTCATTGCCCACCCGATGGGAGGCACCTACAGCCTGCCGCAGCCTTCAAGCTGCACAGGCTCGGCCAGCTGCCCTCCCACATCAGAAACGGATCAGTGAAGGAGCAGTGCGTGTCCCAGGTGCCTGCACGGCACACAGCCCGCAGCTTCTCAAGAGCCATCCAGGGAGAAGGCAGGAGGGGCAGGGCTACTGGGACAGGGACAGGAAGGGAGCAGGCAGGCGCTGACTATGCAAGGAGGGGTCTGGGGCCCAGCCTGGAGGCTGCAGGTGGTGCGGGACCCAGAGGTGCCCCATCAGTGATTTCTGAGGCCATTGTCATTAGGCTGAAATGCTGCCTCTTTCCTAAAGAGCCCTGACAGTGTCTAGTCCAGTGGGGGACCCCTGCTTCTGTCCAGGAAGAGTGGGGTCCCTGGGAGGAGGAGACATACTCAGCTGCTCTGTCCTGAGAGAGTGGCCAGGACAGGCGAGGGCAGAGGTGTGGGAGGAGGAGGCCCCATGCTGCGCGGGCCTCACCTCCCCAGGAGCCCAGCGTGAAGCTGAAATCAGCCTGCAGTTCAGAGGTGCTGAGGGCAGGTGGCCAGGGCAGAGACCAGGGACAGTGGGCATGGGGAGAGCCAGGGTTTGTCCAGCTCCGTGCCCCCCGGGCCAGCAGGGGCTCTGGAAGCACCAAATCCTCTGAGTTACTGTTCCAGGTCCATGGTCTTGGACTCCAGCCTCGCGGCCCCTCTCAGGGCCCTTCCCTGCCTTGGCCCTGGAGCCCACGCCACCTGTCTGAGCCTGTGCAGCTTGGGAAGGACAGGCTGACTGCTCAGAGCCACAGGAGTCCTCCGGGGTCTGCTCTTCATTTACCCAAGCCAGGAGGGACTTTGCTGGGCTTCAGAGAGGGCACCAGGACCAAGCTCTCCCCAACTTGCCTTGGTCTGTGGGGGACCACACCGAGGGGCTCGGGAAATCCAGTACCAGGCCAGATCCCACAGCCACCTTCCAGGCCCACATAGCTCTGTGTCCTGCAGTTCCTGTCTGTGGCGGCCGCCCCTCAGGTGGACCCTGTGCAAGGGGAGCGCCTGCTGTCTAGATGGGCTTTAGGCCTCAAATCCCACTGATGAGACACTTCATGCTGTGGCAGGGGGCCCTGCCCCACCACTCCCCCAACATCTGACTGCATGTGCAAAGGTGAAGCCACATACCACCAGCCCAGTCCTCCCCGACCTTGTCCTGCCGCCAGTCCATGATACTTACTCACCCCCATCTGTCCATGCACACCTGTACCTGCCAATCACCCTCCACCTGTCCATCACC